ATTCCCTAGCACTTCAACTGTTCTTACTGTTCAGAGTTTCATACAATAATAGCTAACACTTATCACCCAAAGCAGTTAATTCACAGAGAGTTACTGCATAGAGACATCTTGCCTGACACAATTAAGCTAAACTAGGACTAAAGCTTTGCATCAAAATGATAACTAAATGCCTGGATATGTGTCTCCAACATAAACAAACCTACAGACAAACAGAAAAATCAACAGTATACCCTGAAGGTTACAACTACTAGATGTAATGCAGTAAATTAAATGACAAAGTGAAGTCTGAGTACTCAAAAGTCTTAAATGCCTATATGTAAAAAATAAAAATAAACGGGGAACCTGGAGAAATGTTGGATTCAATTACACAATTACATGATGTGGTTAATATCTTTAACATATAAAGATGACATATGAATTGACAGCTCTAAAACCTGGTAGATAAATGGGCAGAGCACACCAACAGAGAATTCATAAGAGAGGAAAGTCAACTGATTTACAAAGATGATCATAATGTGTATCTTTACCAGAAAATAAATAAATGCAGACTAAAGCAAGACGTCACTTTTATTCTCATATCAAATTAACAGCTACATGATACTGATGAAGTACAACTAGACTTGCAGGCTCATGTGTATGGCTGGTGGCAGTGTTCCAGATGAAAGCTATTTGTCAGTATGTGTCAAGCACTTTAAATATTTGTCTCCTTTTACATACTGATTTTTCTTCTGAAAAGGTCTACTGAGGAAATAATTTTAGTTTTAAACAAAAGTTTAAATAGAAATAAAAGCTTTTCTTAACATAGTGAAAATTTTAAAACACCCTAAATATCTAATAATGGGAGAATGGTTAAGTAAATTGTTATGTCTGCTTTCTGAAGTACTACGGAGATATTAAAAATGTTTATGAAGAGTTTATAAGAACACGGACACTTTTAGTCACTAAATAAATACTAATTAATGCCCTGTTCTGAGTACTGAAGATTTAAAAGATGAGTAAAACCCAGCCCCAACCCTCAAGGAACTTAAACAAAGTGAATAATACCTCTAAACAAACAAGTGTAATAATG